TTTAGTCATAAATATTAATGCAAAGTTTGGGTTTTTCTGCCAAACATACATCATTCTGTACTTGCTTATGAGCAACTACAGTGGAACCTCGGGTTACGAATGCTTCTGTTAATGAACTTTTCGGGTTACGACCAGCTCCGGCTGTAAAAATTTACCTCGGTTTGCGAACTCCGCCTCGGGGTACGAACGGGATACGCGGCCATTTCCCCTCCCGTGACACGGTCCGCGGCCATTTTTCCACCCCTGACATGTGGTCCGCGGCCATTTTCCGCCCAACACGTGGTCCGCGGCCATTTTTCGCCCCTGACACGTGGTCCACGGCCATTTTTCCACCCCTGACACATGGTCCGTGGCCATTTTTCCACCCCTGACACGTGGTCCGCGGCCATTTTCCGCCCCTGACACATGGTCCGCGGCCATTTTTCCACCCCTGACACGTGGTCCGCGGTCATTTTTCCACCCCTGACACGTGGTCCGCGGCCATTTTTACGCCCCTGACACGTGGTCATAGGGAGGGGGACTACACGTGGTCCGCGGCCATTTTCCGCCCCTGACACATGGTCCGCGGCCATTTTTCCACCCCTGACACGTGGTCCGCGGTCATTTTTCCCCCCCTGACACGTGGTCCGCGGTCATTTTTCCCCCCCTGACACGTGGTCCGCGGCCATTTTTACGCCCCTGACACGTGGTCATAGGGAGGGGGACTCTCCCTCCAAGCAATAGCCGCCTCCCTGTCCTCCACGCCAGAATGGATTAACGGTAATTACATTGAACCTTATGGGGAAATTTCCTTTGGGTTGTGATCAATTCAGGGTGTGACCAGAGTCACGGAATGAATTAAATTCGTAACCCGAGGTTCCACTGTATCTTTGTATAATATATACATGGATGAGAAGTCCTTATGTACATGTTTTGTTGTTTTTCTTCCTTTTTCTATTGTTTGCTCTTTTTTTCTGTTCTGTTTAATGTGTGTGGGGGGGGGGGACACCCATGCTTTATCATTTTATTTATTTATTTTATCTTTATACCCCCTTTTCTACAGGAGCTGCAGGTGGTGTACAAAGTGGTTCCTCCTTTTATTTTCTCCCTCAAAAATAGGCCCGTGAGGTAGCTTGGACTGAGTGTGACGGGCCCAAATTCAGCCAGTGAGCTTCCACAGCTCACTATGAACTAGAACCTGAGTTTCCCTGCTCCTAGTTCACTCCACACTGGTTATAGTATTAACCACCCACTTTTCAATTTTTTCTAGATTTTTATTCAATTATAAGCCTGATATAAAACATCAGCTATGAAATATTAGTGCAAAGAATAATTCCATTGTTCCCATTTTCCTATTAACATCGAAAGGTAGATTATAAGATATTCACTCTCTGATTTTCCCCAAACTGGGTTTGTGTATGTTGATTATTAGTACAGAGAATATGCTACTTCATACTTTAACAGAATAATATTCTTGAATCCTTCTCCAACGTAATGTTGACTGTGGATGAGGAGAATTATGGTACAACATAAATGGAGGGTGCTGGTTTGAGGAAGAAAGTTTCATAATATTCCAGTTTAGTAGCCTTTTGCCCAATCAGCATATATATTAAAGAAGTAATGTTCATGAAAAAAATAGCTTAAGAAAAATAGAGAAGAATCAAAAATACCATTATCTTAAAGAGGAGAAAAATATATTCAGCCTGGTAATCATTGGTATTGTAACTTACCCCTCAATCTTGCATACTTATTTTTCAGTTCAACATAACTTTCATATAAAGGCCTCATCTTCTTGCCAACATCAGCTCTCCAGCCTTCCCAGGCCCATAGCCTCTCTGAGTAATCCCAGTTGTTTGCCATTATATCATCCAAACCTGTCACCATAAAATCAGGTTAATTCCCATTATTTATTTATTTGTTTGTTCATTAACAGCACCAGTCTTATGTTTTGGGGTGACATACAACAAAGTGGAAAAAAAAAACAGAAATATTACACAAAAATAAAATAATCAGTTAGAAATGCAAAATAGATGTGCATGAATAGAGGAACATCTGTGTGTCAGTCAGCTAAAGCTGAAAGCTCATTGAAAAGGGGAGGTTTTCACAATCTTTCTGAATACAAGAAGGCCATTTGACCTCCAGGGCAACATATTTCATAACACAGAGGCTACCACAGAAAATTCCTGCCATCTCACCCAATTCTTATGAAGCTTGGATGGAGAAGGGATTCTTAACAGACCTGCCTAAGAGGTCTGAATCAGATGGGTAGGGATAATTGTGCCAGGGAGGTGCCTGATATAACTCCCTTAGGCCCTGCAAGTTCAAAAGATACCAGATCACCTTACAGTTCATTTTACCTTGCACACGCTGTGGACTCTATTCAACTGACATCTTACTCATAGCTGATACAAGCAATTTTACCACAAAAACCACAAGCCTTCATCCAACATACCTGCAGGTGCTTTATTTTGCCTTTATTTTCCCACAACAGTGTCCAGATAACCCTGAAAGGGCCACTAGTCAGTTGTTATAGTCCTTCATATCCATATCATATGTCATCTGCTCTGAAATTAAGACCATATCCAGTGCATGTTCATCCATGTACGTTTGGGCTATAATCACTTCATGGTCATGAACTCACTAGTTGCACTAGACTCTCCCCTGGGACATGGAGGTTGAAGTCACTCAAGACTTTGGAAAATCCAATCTCAGCCTGAGATGCATCCAGGATCTCATGAAGAGCCACCATTGGGCAGCTAAGCAGACCATACAGGAGCAACAGCCTGAACGTATCTATACAGTCCAGTTCCTCCCAAAGCTCTTGGAATTAGTCACTCCTGGGGCAGTCCTTCTCACACTTGCTAGAGTCTCATGAATCACCACAGTTATCTACTTCCTAAACTTTGGTGTAATACCTGATATAGCTTTGGTGTAACACTTGGTGTTACAGAGGGTAGACCTGTAACTAGCCTAACTATGTCCCATTGAAACATGCCAAGCCTGCACATTTGTCCACCAGCATGTAATAAATGGATGCTCTCTTATTTCATACAGATCTTGCATTTACCACAGCAGCTGAAAGGCAAGGATCTCTGGCAACTTGGCCACTTGCCCCCAGGTTGGGGCTACTGACTTAGAAGAGGGGATCTGCACCAGATTGTTGGTCTTCTTTCTCCTTTAACCATGCCTCATCCTGTTTTTCCAATTCCAGTAGGGTCATTCTTCAGCCTCCCCAACTCTCACCCAGAGCATGATTTAAAATGTGGATTTGCATATAATATAAGCGGTGGAATCTCAGTTGTACAAATACTTCATAATAAGCAGCCTCAAATGATGTTTTTGTTCTTATAACATGTGCAGTGCTGTGTTCAGATAGATCATTGATGAAGTGCACAGTTTCTTTCCCTGCATTTGACCCAAAAATGAATGTATAAGACAGAATTAATAATCTCTTATTTCATGCATGTGTTCTGATCAAATAAATAAATTAGAGTGAGAAACCTGTTAGGTTTCCTTTCCTTTTCCTCTTAAATCTTTTACAATTAATTTGTTTTGCTTACTACTTCTTATTCTTTTTGTGCACTTTGAAAAACACTGCTACCCCAAAAGTAGCATGGGTATGTAAGTATATATGTATGCATATATACATATGCGGCAAAAATCCAATTGCGTTATTCTAGTTTACCATGAAACATCCCTGAAGCCATTTATGCCAGTAAAAAACAGGGGCTATAATAAACAAAAATGTCCAAACAAACCCATTCTTTTCTGTTTCTATTTCATTCTTAATCTACAAGCTGAAGATTGTGGAAGATACTTGTTGATATACTTTACCTGGTTCTAAGGGCAAACAGTCAAAAGGATAATCTTGTTTGCACACAGTCCCAGTACTGTAGATGGTACTCATTTTACGTAAAACAGTATTCAGCTGTAATTTAAATGAGAAGGAACTTTTTTGAAAGGGGAATAAAGCAGTACTTTTTTTGTTCAAAAATCAGCAGGGGCAGAGGAGACAGATATAAAATAATTTGTAGATTGGCAGAGTGTTAGGGTTAACATCTATCTACCAATCTGCATTGGGCCAATGTAGTAGATTATAGTCCATAACTGTGATGGAATGGAATTATGAAGGCCAAGCTCAAGGAGATAAACATTTTCTTAGCTCGCCAGAACCGCGTTAGAGGAACAAGAGGATGAGACTGGCACCTCCCTGAGGAATTCACACTGTTGTGGCTGGGGGGCTTTGGGGACTGGGGGTTTTGTCTGGGAAGATTCTTGCTAGAGGTTGTAGAATAAATAAATAGCTGGACTGAATTGGCATTGTCTCTTGGAGTTCCTTGGGCTAGGCCTGACAATAACCTTCAAGAAGAGGCCTTCATTCTGCAATGAATTGATTTGGGATGATGATGATGATACTATTACTACTAATAATAATGTATATGTCTCACCAGGATGAAGGAAGAACAGAGATCATTTGGTACATACCACCTGGATTGATTTTAGCATAGAGGTGGTCTATAATATTTGGCAACATACTTGGTCTTTTGTAGATGATTCTGTTGGTCCATTCTGCAGCAAATTAATCTGGAGCCTGATGGTTTCATCAGTAATATGATTCACATTGAATTTGCTAGCATTCCTGGAGGCTTCTTCATAAAAGTCAGAAAATACAGCGTCTGCTTCATGCTGAAAGAGATTTATTCGAGTTTTGAGTTTTGCTATCAGGCTCATTCAGTATTGAACTGAGGATTCAGAACTATTCTTCCATTTTTCCTGTCTTTTTTATTTTTTAATTACAAGCAATACATTAAGGATTATGGATGTGAAGGTTGATGCAAATCTGTTTCATCGCCAGGTTTGCAGAGTAGATTTCTGCACTGCCAGTTTTATGTCTAGATTTGCAATTTAAAAACATCCACATAAATGTGCTGGTACTAAGGAAGGAACTTGCTTGTTTTTGAAAATGTACAAAATGTATGGCACTCTTCAACTTTTTCATTTTTCTAACAAAAGTCATATTCACTCTATAGAGACTGCTGCTTCTTCTGTAGCAATTCCTGAACTTACTGTACAACCAACTAGACCCTAGACAGCATCTAGGGAGACACTACACTTTGGGGGTGCACAAGGCATTTTTGCTGTGAAAAGAAAGAAATGGAAAGATCCCCAATCAATTTTCAAGAGTAAACTTGCTTTTTTTTTTTTAAGGGAAACACTGAGAATAACCAAACTTCTCTCCTCCTAGCATCATCCTGCTTTAGGTCTGCTGGGAGCACATCAATGCATACATATTCATTAAGCTACTCCCTTTCAGGGTAAGCAATGTTATGCACAGTGCAGAAAGGGAGTATGAAATAGTAATCAAAGATTTCAGAAACATAAGAAAATGAAATATAGCTATACATGCATACCACACAATCTACTATACTGTATTTCTTCATACCTTTTATCCTCGCAAAGCATTCTTGCTTCCACCATGTCCATATTTCACTTTATATATTCTCTTTTTGTTTTTTAAACTTCTCACCTTATCTTCATTTGAGGAATTCATCACCTCCATCTAACCAGGACTATCTTGGTCTTCCTTTTCATCTTGCCCCATTCACTCTTCCTTTATATATCTATTTTACAGTTCTTATCCAGTTTGACTTCTTTCATACTAGTCACACACTTCTATATTCAGCCTACTTTCAATCAGCACCCTACTTCTTTTTGTTTTACAACACACACTTAATTATCCCACTCTGACCATATTCAACTCCCTTTTATGCTTCTCTTGATATATTCTATTCTAATTTCCTTATAACAATGAGGGCAGGTGCATGCTATTATACACAGCCATGTTTAGTTCTTTTGACAAACACTTATTCCTCAAAATAGGCCATATAACACACACTACCCTTCCACCTACATTAACATGAGTTAAATTTTATCTATTGATATTATAATCTTCATAATCATTCTACCAAGCTACACAAATTCATTTATGCACTCTAGTTATACTTGTTCACTCCATTTTTCCTGTCAAACACAACTACCTTGGAGTCTGATACTTTAATTTTTAGATTGCATCATGCAATCTGTTTTATATTCCCTGCAGATCATTCAGCTTTTCAGTCAACAAAATGACACAATCTGCATGTATATTCATGTCCCAATCAGCACACCTCTAAGATTCTTTTTAAATTTAACTATAAATAAACAACTAAGAGGACATCACACCTCTTTGTCTTATGCCCTGTTCAATATTGAACCATTCCCTAAGCATTTCATATATTCTCATACTGGCTTTACTGTATTAGCAACCAATCTTCTACTCCATATCAGAAAAAAAAAATCCACAGTTCAACCCTGTTCACTTTATCTACACTTTCTCTAAACCAGCAAATTATAATAACCTTTCTTTTTCCAAATACTTCTCACTGAATTACTAAAGTGCAAAAATCTGATCTGCACCCCCTGCCCAGCATAAACCCTCATGGCACTTTCCACATTTTGCTCAGTGTTACCTCTCAGATCCTTTTGATCAGAATTCTGATGAATGCTTTAGCAGGGATGCTTAACAAACCAATTCTCCAGTAGCGTCTACATTTTCTCTTGCTTCTTTTTTGTACTGAGGAGCAGTAATAGCAGTCATCAGGCACAGAAGCAGCCTTCACACACACCTTAAACAGGTTGCATAGCCAGTCCATAAGCAAACTATATCCATATTTTAATAGTTTTCCATCATACCTGCAGCCTTACCCTTTTCAACATTCTCATAACATTCATAATGCCTTTGCATTCATTTATGGAGGACACTAATGTTCATAGTATTCATTTCAACATCACTAACAATTATATCACTATCATTCCCATAAACATTCTGAAAATGCTCCTTCCAGAATTCTCTCACTTCAGTTTCATCCCAGATCATTAAATCATTTTTATTCTTAATTCCAATTACTCTGCTGGTGGCTCCTCATTTAACCCTTTTCACCCACTTCCCAAAATATTATTACATTTCCCCCCTCTTTTAATTGTAATTCTTCCTGTCTTTGACTTCTTTGCAGCTATGTTTTTCTATATTTTATATATTGCACAATACCTTTTTCTTATTTTTTGCAGCAATCATTCTCTTAAATGCAGTTTTGATCATCTGCTATTGTTTTTTCATTTCATTATTACATCAAATGTCCTTTTTCATACTTCCCATTAGTGGAACTCCACATACTTCTGTAGGGCTTTGTAATATTGTTTTTTTGCTCTGTTTGAGGCAGTTTCTACGTTGTCTTGCCTTTTGTCCACCTTCTGTTCACTATCTTGAGAGAGTAAACTATCTTTTTAATATTTTTTCAAACTTCACTATATGTTCTCTTCCTGCTGCCATTTTTCTTTTGTTCTAGTTTCTTTCATTTCTTTCCTCTTTTCCATGTCCATTTTTCCCAAAATCACTTTTTGACATTATCAAAAAACAATCTAGCCTACATTCAAAACTTCTCATTGCACAGATCCTACATGAATTTTCTCAGTCTTTAACCATAAACTATATAATCAATCATGCTTGTAGATTTATATTTATTCCCTTCAGATGTGTAGATATTGACAGACCTTTGCTTGAATTACATGTTCAAAACCGATCTTCTTCTAAGCAGATACTCATCAAACAGTCACCAGTCTCATTTATTTGGGGGGCCTCTGAATGGGGTAATAACTTTTTCTATATTGTCTTGTTCCTCATCATCTATTCATATCATTTAGAAAAATAAAACTTTCACTGGATTACATTCATTCAGAATGTTGCGCAACTTTCCCCAAAACACATTTCTGGTTCTTAAATTATTATCATTTACTGGAATATAGCATATAACTATCACCACACTATAGATTCCTACTTTTATGTGCAACCAATCTAGATAACACCAATTCATACTTTCCGGTGTATATTTTGGTCCTTTCATTCATAATTAAACCTACACCTTCACTATCCTGCATGAATTCATCAAGATCAGACCATTCAGATCTGTTACATCTTTCCCCTTTCTCTTGGTATCAGAGATACACAACATTAACTTCCTTCCTTCCTTCCTTCCTTCCTTCCTTCCTTCCTTCCTTCCTTCCTTCCTTCCTTCCTTCCTTCCTGTCATGTCATGTCATGTCATGTCATGTCATGTGCCATGGTCATTACCAGCCTAGTCTATGGACATCGAACTCTACTGCTCATCATGGCTTTGGCTAATCAAGGCTTTCACATAATGCTTTTCAATAAGAAAGAGAAGATGCCAGCCTTAGTTTTGCTCATGCCACTTGCAGCATCCCCTGTTAATAGCAAGGACTGATCAGAGTGACAAGGGTTTGGGCACATATTGGCCAGGAAGCCTCAAACACAATCATAGCTGGCTTTTACCCCAAGAATGCTTATGCTTTTCTACATCAGCTGGATTTCTATTTAGAAGCTACCTTACAAGCCAATATACTGCTGCCTGCATTCCACTAGCCCAGAAGCTCATGAAGTATTGTGACGCACACTGCTGGTAATGAGAAACCAAATCCATTCTTAACAGAACATTAAATTACCTTATATGCCTATTAAGGAGTTAACTGGGTGCACAATGTGCTTTAATTGGTTGTGATAAGGGGTCTGGGAATAAATCATGCACAAAGTACTAGATAACATTAACATAGTCTAACAGGGCTTTTGGTATGTGAAATCCAATAATATATAACAATTGCATTTCACTACTATGGAACCAAGCAATGGGTTGTCCAGGTTTGTATACCACACTAAATGATCCACATTTTAAAAGCTAAGCCAGGAGATTCAAAATATCTGTCCAAATGGAATGAATGGGGAGGTACTAATAGCAAACCAGACAGTATAAATGTGTAAAATGAGACATACTGAGCCCAAAAAACAATAATAAAGCCTGATTTTGTTATTGATGGATAAGTCCTAAATTTATAGATTGGTTTTGATGGAAGCCATTTAACTGAGAAGCAAGGTTCACTGGATATAACCATTCAACACTATTATCCAACATAATCAATTTGCAGTAGATTCAAGACAGAAAAAATTAAGTACTTCTTCGCATGTTGCATAATTAATTATTGAATTTACTGCCACAGGGTTTAGCATACCCTAGACTAGTGCTGTCCAGGTGCACCAAGACAACAATTTATAGGAGTTCTAGCCAGCTGTCCATAGGATTTTCAGAACTGGTAATTTTTTGAATGACAAGTGAACACATTTTCTCATAGTTTATATGATGCAACTAATTTACTGAACAGTTTTCTTAAATTAAACTCCATTCCACAGAGCTCCATTTTTTAAATCACACTCATCTCTGAAAAACAGTAACTGATGGGAACTGACAGTGAGCACTAGCAGAAGGGGAGCCAAAGTGGGCCACTGAGAAACACAGAAAGGATATACATCTGCTTGGGAAATTCCAAAGTTTGCTTAGGTAAATATTAGCAAATATTTTAAGATGCTATCAACTATCCTCTCAAAAGGCCAGATAAGAACTAAGAATGCTAAATTCGAAAAGAAAAACCAGAGTCAAGAAATGGGATAGCCTGCTGGAATCCCAAGCAAGAGCATGAAATGGGTAAGAATCCTTAAAAATATTTTGCTTAAGATCCCACTTTTATTTTTATAACACAGTACCATTAAGTTCAGCTTTCCTCCCATCTTTCTGATTAGTGCAAGGTAGATTTGGTCATGGATCTTGGCAAAGAGAAACAAGGAAGCTCTCAAGAAAAGAAAGAACAGAAAGTTCTGGGAACACAGTTAACAGCTTGTGAAAGACCAATCCCTGGGTGCTAACCCAATGTGATAAAGCAAGAATGGGCTCTTGCTGATGCAGGGGAAACAGCCAGGTTCAATGGGGAAGATTGGTACCCCTGCTGATAGCCTTGTTAACTCCTGAGCAGCATCAGTGATAGATAACCACATTAGTCGCAAGGAGCAAGTAAATGTAAAGCTTCCTTCAAGCTCAGCAAATTGAGTTAATTCCTAGTGACTTTATAGGGATATCCATGCATGCAGCTTTTTGGCATTAATGTGGAAATGGTTTGCCATTGCTTTCTTCTAAGATATTTTTTCAATTTCTTGGTCCAGCATGCAGCACTAGTATTTCTTGGGGATATCCCATCCAAGTACTAATCACATCTAACCAAGGTCAGCTGGGTGCTACTTTCATCTGTAGGTCACAACTAACAACATATCCAAATTCTGGAATTAAAAAAAGTATTTAGAAAGTAGCCATCACAAATCTAAAGGCAATTAATTTAGTTGTTTTTTAGTAACTCATGATTATGCTGTTTTAGCTTACCTTTACTGTATCTTAATTTGTAATCCAGGGCTGGGCAACTGTCCATCATTCTGGCCAATGACAATGATGGCTAAAGATGATGGCCACTGTGTGCTTATTTCCATAAATAGATGATTTCCATAATGATGGAATCTATTGTGTTTTTGCAGAATCAGCATATTCCAACTAACAGGTTCATTTAATCTGTTCATAGTTTAAACTGCAGTTACACTTTTTTGTAATATATGAAGTATCAGTTAAGTGTACAACTGTGCTCTGATATATGTATAGATTGAGGGAGTGTGAACTACCTAAATTTTCATTAAAATGTAGGCCAAACATGTTTCTCCACATCCATGCAACATTGAATAATTCTAAAGCGCTAAAGCAAGAAAATCTTATTCATGGCAATGGTAATTTGTGTTAGTAACCACAATTTCATTCAAGGAAAAACAAATATGCCAAACTAATCAAACATAGTCTCTGATTCTAAACTAAAAGTTAAACTACAAACCTAAAACTCACTCTAAATTGAAAACAGAGCTACAATATTAATAAATTGTGACATAAACAGTGAAATACTGTATATGTAATAAACATACAGAAGAATGGGAAGATTCAAGACAGGAGAGATATATAATATATCATATGTGCTTTCCATGGGACTGGCTTGGAAAAACACTACAAAGCTTCAATTGGTCCAGAACGCAGTTCTAGGAGGATCAGCATTTGCCCATGCTACATTGTACTTGTAGCCCTTGAGCTTCAAGGGCTCTTGGTGTGATCCCAAGTGCAATTCAAAGTGCTGGTTATCACCTTTAAAACCCTGCATGGCATAGGGCCAGATTACTTGCAGGACTGCCTCTCCCTGAGTTTTAGCCACTCTCACCAGATCCAACAAGATGGGTGTGCTCCAGGTCCCTTCTATCAAACAATGTAGGAAGAAAGCTGTATTAGTCTATGCTAGCAATAAATAAATAAAAGTCATAAAGTTTCATGAGCTGCAGCTTTTAATTTGTTAAATCAGAATTTTTTATAGCTAAAATGTATTAGTCGGAAGAAGGCCGACTATCCACATGCCATCTGATTTTCTATAAAACAATGTCTTTTGGTGAAGACATGCCTTCTCTGTCCCAGCGTCCGACCTATAGAAGAGCTTCCCCATGAGACCTGGAGGACCTCACCTTCCTGGCCCTCCAAAAGGCAGTGAAGACCTAGTTCTTCCTGCAAGTGCTGGGCCATGATGTTAGTTGAGTCTAATATAAGTGTAGCTTGTGTCATGAGTCTGTTAATGGTTTTGCGGTTATGGTATTATGATTATTTGAATTCTGTTTCTGTATTTTGTTGATAGGCATGATGATAGTGATGATCATGATGACAGATTGTTATAAGCTGCCCAAGTTAGTAGACTGGGATAGACTTGTAAATAACTTGCAAGGTTTTCTGACTGACATCAATAGCAGCAACTAAAAAACATTTTCCAGAATGAGGTGACTGAAAAAAAGGTGTAGGTAGAAAATCAGGAGTAGATTCATGTTTGGAAGCACTTGGGTGCTTGGACATGGTATTGATGGGTTAGAGGATAATATCTGTTTGCTGACTTCAACCACCTGCTTGGTTGTATCACTTTCATTAAAACCAGCGGAGATGGGATTTTTAGTCCCTACAGGGGAATGAGGAGAGGGTTGACTTTAAAACAGACAAAGAGCTTGGGGTGTCCTCCATTCTACACATTGGTTCCAATCTATATCTTGGCTACCATTCACTGTTTTATCAGAATAATCAAAATCAAGAAGTAGGGCAGCATATGATATGTTGCACATACCATCTAATTTAGGCCTCATAGTTCTAATTAAAAAATAAAATAGGCTGGAAATTTGCTTACTCCAATTTAAATCTTATGATGGATATTATAAAATCCTCAAGGTACAAGATTTAGGACAGGAGTTAGCAAAATTTATCTTTCCTCATTGGATGACTGCTTCTGAAGTACAGTATGAGCTGCCTGTTTTCCTTCCAGTGGTCATTAGAAAAACTCTGTAACATTAAGAAGCATTGCTCATCTTTGTTCCTTCATTTGATAAGCCTGAGCTGGACTGTAAGCCTGAGAGGTGTCTCTACTCCCCTATCCCTCTTGATCTGTATGCTGCCCTCAAAAAGTATCAGTAGAGCACAGCAATAAAATGATATGCTATTCATGAAGAATATCACAATTCTAATAGCCAAATCTACCAGTAGGAAGGAATCAGAACAGGGCAAAGTGGGGTATCTTGAAGCTCATTAGACCTGTAGAAAGCTATTGGAATCACTAAGGAATAATGAAACTGAGGCATATGAACTTATAAATAAATAGCTAGAATCAGTAATGATGGGCTTTAGACAGAATAGCTGTAGTTCCAGCGGATCCCTCCATTCTGCCATGATACGCCCCTCCTTCCGCCTGGCATAATTAATTAATTAATTAATATGAATATTTAAACGTCCTATCTTGTCTTAACATATTCTAACAGAAGTGAAACCAGTGACCCAATGGAAGAAAAACTGAGAAGAAAAGAAGATGCCATCCCAACTGCTACATATCCCAACAGCACAAAGGAAGATCTCCCTTCCATCATACATGGGACAGCTGTGCAAATCTTATTGAAAACAGTAGAATAGATAGAAATTAACAGTGCAAGATTCTTAACTGTTTTAGAGGAAATGGCAAGTCTAACATTTCTAGACTGTCCCTGATTACTATCATGAGGTGGCAGACAAAGCATAGCAGGGCCTTATAACTGAGATCCTTCTATCAGTTTTACAAAATATGTTTGGTCAGGAAAATCATACACCTCTAACTAAAGTAATTAATGCCTTGGTCATTCTCCTTTAGCAAACAGACTGTTTTTCCACCTTTGTTGTTGGACTGGAATTAGCTTTCAATTCCATTTCATGTAAACTTCAGGTAGGTTTTATGATGTTGGCAAGTTCAGAACATGCCATTTTACTCTATTGCCTAATGATACTTAGTTTTTCATTCCATTCACCATTCCAGATAATTTTTAATATCTTCTTTTACATTCCCGCTGCCTAGTTTTATTTCTTAAATAAACAGCAAATATTTGTCAAAGGTACGCACCATTTTTATGGCATTTTCTTCTGTGATGTTGGTATTATAATTCCATGAAGCAATGGATGCGTCATAATACAAATCATCTGCACGGACATCAAATTGCATTAAAAACTCTGCAGCCTCCTGGGTCACATCCTGGGCCACAGCCAGAACCACCAGGCTCCAAATAAGGCAGAGCCAGGGTAACATGTTTCCTTTCAGGTCAAGAAATGCTGGATGGGTGAAGCTCCTTGCAGAAGACTTCCTGATCAGTGCTTGTTTCATCAGTGTTTATCCAGTGCTTGGCTATGGAAAAAGAGGAAGAAACCTATTCACTGGGCATTTTATAGTTTTAATCCAGCAAAGGGACAGAATCTAGAAGAGTTTTTTTTTTCTTTAAGTCAAGTAAGCAAAAGTGAATAATTAACTCTGTGGAAAGATAATTACCTGTAAGCGTTTTATGGTTTTCTTTTGAAAGGCTTTTACGTAGAGTTAATATTTCCCCAGCATCCTGTCAATGATATAGCTAGTTATTATCTCTTCTGTCACATTTTCTGAGTTGAGAACTTGAGGTTTTAAAAACAGCTTTGGAGAATATGATACCACTAGAAGGCCTGATGCCAAAGTTCTGGTTAGCTGCATCAAATCAATACGTGAACTTCAGCATTCCTCACCTCAGAACTTTCAGCTGTGTGACTCCTTCCAACTTTTCCTCTCAGCTTCTTCTGTCTGTTCCTTCAATACTTCCACTACTTCTGGCCGTAATCCCTTGGGCCTCCTCAGGCCCCCACCTCTTCTTCCTTTCTGAGGTCACCTTTCTGCTTTCCTTTATGAGGAAAACTAGCTTAGTCAACATATGTCCCTACCTATAAGTAGTGCTAGAGCTACTCAGCTAATCACTGTCTGTGCATCATTGCTATGATTGCAAAAACCCTTAGCTTAGTATCTTATAGTTCAGACATGTAATTGCTGTTCTTGCCCAGAAAAAGTTGCTGGCTGAACCCAATTCACCCTTGCCTTCGTCCTTAATGGCCTTCTGCAAGCTGATAATAACCTTTCTTTCTTGGAAGGCATTTGAGCTATGCATTGTTGCCTTTCTAAATGTGATTTTAAACTGTCTATGCTTACAGGACTAATGTCTATTTTGCATATTCTTAAATTCGTAAAGACTGATTTACATTTGTAGTTGATTGTTGGCTATTGTAAACTCTTCAGTGGAAAGATGGGTTGTGAATGCTGTTTTAAATGAAGTAACTCCTTTTGATCAGAACAGACAACAGCCTTCATTGTATAGTCCTCTCTCCACTGGACTGCAGTAGTTCCAGTTTCAGTTAATGCCCCATTTATGTCATAAGTAACGTCTTGATTGGCCTTTTTTCAGATTAGAAAACAGAGGTTCCAGCCTTCTTAGTATAGTACTGGAGTAATTTGTAATATAAAGGAAAACAGAAGCTTCTTTCATGGGGGAATAAAAATATTAGGAATCTAGAGGACAAATTTCAGCACAACAGTACAATTTACAATTATATCCATTTGATTTGCCCAGTAGTAATATATTAACAAGAAAAGAGAAAAATAAAAAGATAAAATTGGGGAATTTAAAGAAGAAATAATACAGAAGCAAAGATAGTGTTGTTGGTGCTGCAGGCAGCTTCCCACTGCCTGGTACCCTCCAGGCTGGACTACAATTCCCAGAATTTCAGAAAAGCCTAGTTCTGGCTCTGATGATATTGATACCTGCTAGCACTGCCTCATTGATGCTGACTAACTATGAAGTTATCTGACATCAGAATAACAAAAGTTAGTGGCTAGGAATTTTGGGAGTTATGATGTCAACGTACAGCATGTGGAAGGCAACAATCTGGGGAAGGGTGGTGTAATTTATTTTGATGCTGTTAAATAGGTAAGAAACAGATCTAAAAAATGACTTTATTATTGTATAGAAATCTATTAAAAATACTCATCTTGTGCAGTTGATGGAAAAAAACTAACCTTTTGACACAACTTTTAAAGGTTAAGTAATTAGAGAGTAAATATTTGAATCTGAGCCAGGAGTTTATCAAAGGGTATTTAACAGCTTATTCCAAGGTGTTTGAACTACAATTCCCATTGCCCCATAGGCATCACAGAAATTGCCTGGGATTTGGGCAATTTTAGTCCAATACATCTAGATGGGGCTGCCATACTGGGAAATGCTTGTATAAACAGATTAGCTGTGCAAGGTGGTGAAAGAATCCATCTTCTACTCCCAGATATTTTGATATTTATTTTGCCTCCCTCTTTTTATGTAATCTGTTAACTTCTGCTATTTTAATTCCTTCAGGTGAACAAAACCAATTGCAGTAGATTAAGGTGAGAAAGAAAATTACAACCTTTCTCATCTGCCAGTATCTTTTTAGCCAATATACCTCATTAAATATATTTAGAGTACCAGTCCAAGAGATATGGTACTGGGAGGAAGCAGGTAAAAATCTCTAGCTCATAGAAAGAATTAGGCCAACTTACTTTCTAGATAAAGTAAACAGATAAAGACCAAATAATTAATTATGTCTGTTCACACAACATACTAAGTCTGTGAATTAATCACAACTGCTTGGATTTATACAACCTACTAAGCCAGAACCCATGGTTTACAAAGTACCACAGTTGGGTTTGTATAACACACTAAGCCACAAGCAAGCAATTCACATGGCTTAGGACAACGTTGAATTCAGTTTGGTTTATTGTTCAGTAGGGAATTAAGGCTGTTGTTTGGCAGCAAATCCCACTGAAATTAAAGGTACTGATTTCTGAGTAGACATGCATAAGATTACAATGCTTTATAGTGCAGTTCTAGCACTGGAAATGAGTTCCATCAAAATAAATAAAATTATCATAAATGTTTATCCTGGGGCCAAGCAATTTAGCATTTACCTTAAAGATAAAAGCAACAGGTAGAATGCTTTTAATGATTCTTTTGGTCTGTATTTCCTGATTCATTCATTTTTTTTTTCTGATCCCAGCATAAATACAAGATTTATAGATAACTAGATCCAAGAAAACAATCACTCAGTGACCTTTGGTTAGCGTAACTTTTACAGTAAGTTGCAGATTAATCCAGCAAATTCAATTTGAATTCAGAAATTAAGGATCTAGGTAAACTGAGAAGTTTGCAGTATAATCTCTGCTGCCATAACTCCCTGAAAACATCTAGATTTAATTGACAGACTAATTTTTAGATACGTTATACAAATTTCTACTTATTATCATTTTCCTAGAAAGGAGGGCGAGTAGATACTTGTTAGAGTCTTTCTCTGCTAAGGCTGAACAAAACAGAATAGGACGTTGCTAGTTTGGGAAAGTCCCCCCCCCCATTCTTAGTATTAAGAGTTGTTATTAGTTCATTACAGATTCTGCCTTCCTCCCCACCCCTCCATGAGTTGTGTGACTGTTTCTCAGTTTTTGAATTTTAAGAGACTGAGTTTCTTAATTCTGTTATAATCAATTTTTCAAAAATCCAAAATATATTCCCCTCTTAATATTGAACTTTGATCCATGAATATCCTATTATTCTATATTTCAGTACTTCAGGTCTTCCACTTTTTATCATCCAATTGGTGCCCCTGATAGAATATGCCAAGATAAGCACCCTTATTATATTACCGCTGGACAAAAAATCTTAATTATTGTAGCACTATAAAACTTTGCCCAGTTAGTTTGAACAAAGAACCATGGCGGAAGAACACATTTTGTAATGACAACTGTAATAGCCCTTCAGGTGTCCAAGAAGTGATTGTAAACTCAGCCTAAGTGTACCATTTGTTCTTTTTCTATCCCCTTTTCACAATTATGTTTTGTTGTTGCTTTGGTACCCAATGAAGTGAATAGAATCCTGTGGTAGCAAAAGTGGACTTGTATATTGGAAGAAAGCAGTTCACATTTTTCCTGCCATAAAATAATAGAAAGGGTGAAGATATGAATAAATCATAATAAAGAAAGCATCTTTGGCCTGCTACCTCTTCTGCATCCAAAGAGCATTTAACATTGGCAGTTATATTATACAGTTACATGTTTCCATGAAGAACACTGCCTTTGAATGATACACTCAGGCATATCACTATATGAGCACGCTTATCGAAAGAAATGCCCCAAAGGACAAAAAAAAAGGCAAAGTACATAATTTTATTGTTATTGATAATCAGCAGTAACAGCCAGATAAAAGGAGGGCAGAGTTTCAGAAAGAGACTGAGAAACAGCATCCATTTATGTTCAGAAGGGTGTAAACCGTTCGTCATCTGCTGCTGCATAGACTCCATTAATCTGTCCAGCTTTTAAATCTAAAATATGACAGGGAATTCTATTTTCCATTGTTATGGCTGCTTCACATTTATCATCTAAATCTTCTGTTTCTTCAGGATTTGTATTATGTCTGAAAAGGAGAGAGAATAAAATTGCTACTGTCATCAAAATATGAAAAGTATGAATCATTTCAAGCTTAACCTTACAGATAAATGACCCTTTTAGAAGTAGTCCCTTGCAAGCTGCAGGAATAAAACTGCCCAAAAAAGAGCACGGACTTGTCCAGGCAGTTGCCTGGAGTCAAGACCAAGCTGAAGGCACCAAAAACAACATCATCAAATATTCATACTTTAAACACATTTCAGATACAAAGTCCTATCGCGGAAATGTTGAACTTTCTGTCCTCCCACTCCCAGGTTATGCCTCTTTTAAGATGCCACTGCCACCTATTTGAGGAACATTTCAAAACCTGAGAAAATATACTTTCTTCCTTCCAGCTCTATTTCTATTAAAAGATTCAATAATTTAATTGTTTAAAACATGCATGTTAATTCTTTTTTTTTGTTATTTTTTACCCCACCTTTCTTATTTTTATAAATAACTCAAGGCGATGAACATACCTAACACTCCTTCCTCCTCCTATTTTCCCCACAACAACCACCCTGTGAGGTGAGTTGGACTGAGAGAGAGTGACTGGCCAAAGTCACCCAGCCAGCTTTCATGCCCAAGGCAGGACTAGAACTCACTGTCTCCTGCTTTCTAGCCTGGAGCATCAATCACTAGACTAAACTGGCTTGCATTCACTGTAATAAACTGGCCTGTGGCTAAACTAGAAGAGCCCCCATTGACCTGCCCTGGGATTCTGCCCTCAGGAACAGATCCAGAGCTCCATATCCCTCAGAGGATAGGCTGGTTGGCTGGGTAAACTCTCACTATCCATGTCAACAGGCAAAAAATCCTACTACTAGCTCTAAAAAGACCCAAAATAATGCCTGACAAGCCTGACTGACTTTGGGAAGACCGCACTGGACACAAATGGTATTTTTGCACTAATTTTGCATAGCTATATAATGGGATCTAATTCTTAGCTAAATGGCATCTCCATTTAATATCTCTTTGAGTATCAGATGCTTAGGAAAAATGTCAGGAACGAGCTGTTGCCTTCATAATCTGTCTGGAAACTTTCCAAGTCATTAGGCTGTCTATCACTAAAATCAGAACCCTCGATAACATGGCATGTTTAGGTGGCTAAGAATGTGCCATTTTTATTTTTTTCTCAACATTAACACTAATTGACCTATATTTGCAATTCAAACATTCCTTACAATTTCTCTCTTTTAACATCTGCATGTTCTAAAACTTACAAAAGCTATGGTGTCTGGCACAATTTATTTTTTAGACTAGTCCATCCCCAATATAATTCCAATAGAAGTAGCAACTATTTGATATTTCCTCCTAAAATGCAACTATATCAGAAGGAGCAAGTTAATTTCTACTCTGTTTATTTCAGTTTCTGACCTTGAGCACCACTGATCCATTGACGAAGACCATCCCATATTATTTATGATGCAGCATCAGCAATTTGGAGGAGATAATGAATTCAAAGGTCAAGTACAGCATATTTTCAACCCATAATACATAATGTAACAATCTCAGGACTTGCATATCAGTAATATTATCAGCCATAAAAGTGTACCGTAAATATCCTGCAAATTCTTGAATGTAGAGATTTGCTAAAAATAAACTACCTTGATTGCAAGGTAGGCTTTATAGGATCTCATTGCTTGGAGCCTTTTTTGCACGGCTCTCAAATTGATAGAAAGCCACTCACTCATATATTATTCCATGGCCCACTACAATGAACAGTCTGAATGAATTCCCATGTTAGCAACTTCAGTACTCATTTGTTTCACACAGCAGATAGTGTTTTTCTTATACGCCCTAATGTGGTGAAAGCAAGTGTGCCTCTTCAGGGAAAGGCTTGAACAAATAGCTCCAGTACATGATAGACAACCATTAGGTATCCCTACCCTTTTACCCTTCTGGAAGGCCGTGAAGACCTTGCTCTTCCCCCAGGGATTGGGCTAGGATGGGGATTGAGCTGGGAGGCTGTTTGGTCCGGTGCCTGGGGGGAAGAGAAAGATTTTGTTTTCAATCTGTAATGATTGTTGTGAGCCACCTAGGATCATTAAATGAGACAGAAAGCTATAGAAGTTCCGTAAATAAATACATAAAGGTATTGAGGGTATACATTCTGTAATGTACCATCTGCTCACACCGTGCTTGCATTCCTGTAAAAATGTATCATTCACCCTCAGAACATCCAGCTGAGTGCAGAGGCTTTGCTGTGTGCAAGAGTGATTTATATGTATTCCTTCTCCTCACCTCTTCAGTTCTACATGCACACCGGGCAGTGTTGCTGCTTGTCTCTCCCTTTCTCACTTTCTCTCTGGCTTCTCACTTAGACTTTTGCTTTGTCCCATAATAATGCCTACAACCACCACTTCTCCTTTCTCTTTTAGCCACTAGCCTGCCTTCCCTTGCTGCCTGCTTGTAGCAAAAGATCACCATATACGTACCATGGATCAGTCAGCATTTACACAGAGAATGGACATCTGCTAATAAACCCTTAGTTTATTAAATGAGGGAAAAAATAAAACAGGAACCAATAAGTAAAAGTATTGTTCATTTATATTTGTAATTCTGGACTGACCCAAAGCAAAACAACTCAAAACGCTTACCTCTTGCGGTGATAAATCCCAGAAGATACAACTAAAATTATTCCAATCACAGTAATGCCAAGAATAATTCCAAATATGATCAGCCAGGTGGGCAGAGGTTGCTCAACTGGTGGAGCTAAAGTTGATGGGATTTCCAAGAACTGCAGTGTGTCATCAGTTAATAAAAAGGCATTGTTGATCCGGTTTCTATTCATTCTTTAAAAAGAAATAGTTTGACATTTTTATAATCAGTCAAATATAATCAACAAAAAATAACTTTATTATGTTCAGCATGTAAAATGGCTGAGGAAGAAAATGATTTACATCAGTTATCATTACATTTCATTCCCAGGTTTTATTTTTGTTAGGAGCTTTGTGTGATAGTGCCTCAAGGTTGGTCCAGAAACATCACCTGATCCAATAGATGACTGCAATGTTCTGACAGGAATTAATAAATTCCCATATTATTAATATTATATTAATGTTCTATCTTTTTTTTTTTTTACGGGCTATCAGGTTTTTCTGGTGTCAATTCAAATTGCTGGTTCTGACTTTAAATCTTTGAGGATCAGAATATTTTTCCAGCTACAAAGAAACTGCTCTAGACCTTCATTTCACTTCTTTAGTTCTCATAATCATTTAAAATTATAAATGTAGCAAGAGCTCTTTCATTTATGGCATCAGGATTTGAATTAGTTTCCTGAGAGAAGTACTCATGAAATCCTACTTTAAAACAAATTATTTAGGAATCGTTTTGTAGGATTGTGCTTAATTATACATCTTTTGTTGCACGTTTGATGGTAAGGCTATATTCTATTATATTTGTATTATTTTGAGGGGAGATAAAAGGGCAAAATGAGTACCTTAAGACTTGCAGACAAAAATTGAGAAAACTTTTGAAGGGAAGAGAGTTTTTAGAGTTTGTAAAGAAGGGAATGATGACTTAAGCCTCTGCATATATTCCTCTAATTTAGTGAAAAATTGAAGCTGAAAAGAAGTTAGAAATTTCAGCATGGCAGTGATCTCAAACATACCTCCAAATAAACCATGACGTATGTACAGGATAGAAACATAAAGGTTTTAAAATGGCCTTCATAATTTCCAGACTTGAATATATTGATAATCTGTACGGATTTTCTCAAACGTGGAATGCATGCAAAGAGACCTAAGAATATTTCTAAGCTAGAAAAGTTTTACAAGAATGGAAGGGGGAAATCCAAGAGCAAAAATAGAAGGTCTAACTGTAGCTAGCTATAGTAAACATTTGAAAGCTGTTATTTCTGCCACAGGAAGTGTCACAGAATATTGACTGAAACTTTGCACCTGTCATATTCACTGTTTTCTTATTCTGTTTTTGTAAGCAACTGCCAATAGATATTAAATATTCATTCAAATTTTCACATGCAAAATTTGAATGCATAATTAATATTTATTGGCAGTTGCTTTAAATTTGTATCAAGCAAAGGTTGCGTCAGCTTCTGTTTACCTAGGGATTAATTGAAACATACAATATGATCAAGGGTGCCTAAATGTATGAATACAATTGTACCTTTCATTCATTACCAATCTGGAGAAAAATCAGTCCCATTCACTAATTCTTTAGAAATTTGTATTCCCATTCCATAAATTTGCATGCACAGTATACCCTTTCTTTTCATGGAAAGACATTTAGACTTTAGAAATAGTGCAGTGGAACACAATACTGCAGAATTATGTCACAAATTAACTATTCACAAAGAATTTCATTTCTAACTTTCCAGTGCAACAGATCCAATAGAAAATGAAGTTGCCTACTTTAATATTAGCTGATTTTATTTGCAGAGCCCTCTGTTCAGCACAACTGCTCACTCAGATATTTTTGAATCTTGCATTCTGTTCACAGTTGCAGTGTTTTGTGGGATTCAGTCTTAAGTCTGTATGCGAATTCAGTTCCATGCAATCTATTTCTCCTAGAATGAATTGCATAATGAATAACCATGGGCTAGAAATACTTAGAAATGTGGAAGAAATGACAAATACGCCTGGTTTAGACAGAGCAGTCATGAACTCCCACACAGAGCACTGCAACTGTTCCTGTAGTTCAGATCATGAGAGCTGAGCTGTAGCAGGAAGGACGTTTCCAAACTGGATTGATTAACACAGCAATATGCTAATTACATAGGCTCTTATCTTTCAATCTTTTGTGATGGAGCTGAGATAATTAGCTTTGTTTTCAGAATTCTTTCTGGATCAAGACTAGCCAAAATTGGAGGAGGATATATTTAGGAATTTTGTTAATTTAACTTTCCTTTCTCCCCACAACTGAACACTGCTTTTCATAAGTTATTATCCGCTCCTTAGGAATTCAGTTTCGAGCACAGTAATAGGTATTTCAAAGGAACAGCTAATGTCTACAACCGATGGACAAGAAGTAAATCTGCTAGAACAGCATGCCACTAATGTTGAAAGAGATTTGCAGTACATAGAATGAATGCTTCAAAGCAGAGCCAAAAAAGTAAAAGTGCATTCCATTATTCTTACTATGGACCGACAGATCCGTAATCTGTTTTTCTTTGAAAACAGTTTAATCTTCTTATAAGCTTAAAAGTTAATCTCCCAAACAATGCATTCTCTTTCATTCCCACATGCATGTTTATTCAACAAGTAGCACTGCATTTATGAAAGATAATTTTCTGTTAAAGCCTAAATTCAACAAGTTAAAACATGCAAATGGGAGCTATTCTCTCTTGAATCTTGCAAAAATGTCACCCGTATATTGGTGCACCAGAAGGTGGTTTCTCTGGGCTCAGAAGCTAAGGAGGGCCAGGCCTGGTTAGTACCTGGGTAGGAGACCTCCAGGAAATATCAGGGCTATAAGATAGATTGGGAAATCTAAACATCCCAGGAGAAGGCAACGACAAGCCCCTTCTGTACTGTGGCCAAGAAGATTGCAGGGACATGTCTGTGAAATCATGTCCAGCTCAAGTTGAAGGAGAATTTACCTTGTTTAGGAGTGTGACCATTAACTTATTGCTTATATACAGTTCAGGGTATATAAGAATGGGCTATTTTTCCTTCCTACTATGGGGGGGAAAAAGAAAGTCCAAAACATGAATCTTAAAAAATGAGGCATGATCAAAGGATTTGTATATAATCAGGGAGCAGTTTGGCAATAATAGGTTTGTCTCTCAGATTTACCCCAAAGTGATTAAAAATATAGATGTCCTAAAATAAAAATCTGGAGTGCTTCCAGATGGAGCAGTAGGTCCTACTGCTCCTAATCAACAATGATCCTCTACTCATTTTTCTCTTTACTGTATTTTTTTGGTATAAAGGCACAAGGTGGAAGGAGCAGTGGGAAAACTGGGAGATTACAAAAGGATAATCCAATTATCTGCCCCTTCCATAAAATGTTGCATTTAATGCCTTATCTAGAAATATCATTGGACATGGACATGGATCTGGATTCTAACGCTGTTCAGCTATAATGCCTACTGATTGGAACCTAAGCAGGACATTCTTTTGCAGCATGGCTTACTATCACACAAGACTACGAAAAATCTCAATGCAGCTTTGAGCATTTTCAGAGTGAAGAAAAGATGCCAATACTCCGAAGAGAAAATATATTTGTTTCAAATAAAGTTGTGCAAATATATAACACATATGCCCAATAGAGTACCTTATGGCTGCTTCCACATCACTTCTGGGAATAGTTGTTATATTTGTGGATGAATCTGTGACTACAAACCAAAATGATACCCGGCTGGTAACATTGCACAGCAATACATTGGAAATTCTAAAAATTAAAATAATAATAATAATAATAATAATAATAGAAGATCAATATAGTAAGTCCTCCCACAGACTGGACTCTTTAGGCAGCCATCAGGCTGTGAGTTTTAGACTTAGCGGTATGATCTCACTTTTAAAGCACAGGCTTTAAAGAAAGGTGTTTTGTTTTTGTTTTTTTAATTACCTGCACTAGCCTTCCCCAGCTTTTGCACCTTCCTTAGCATTGGCCATTCTGGGTGGGAAATTTTGGGAACTGAAGTCCATATATCTGAAAAGCGCACCCAGGCTGGAAAAGACTGAGCTATTCTAAGGACAAGCAACCAGTGGCCTGGGTGGCTCAGCCAGTAGACTTGGCTCTTCTCCAGGTGACTTATTTGATGTCCTTTTCCCCCTCCATTGCTAAAACGCTTCTGCTTTTTCTACCCAGGCATGTGGCCAGGGCTAGAAAATGTGAATAAGATGCCAAGATTTATACTGGTTACACTGGATAGGAATCTCAGCTATTCATGCAGATGAATGGAACCAATATCATGTGTCCATCAGACCTTGTTCCATTCATAGCATGGTTCTTGTTTAAAGACTAATTATCTCCAGCATATACTCCAGCAAAAACAGGAATATGCTGTTCCTTAGTGACATCTTCTGGCTGATTACCAGCAGAACAAATGGTTTCAACTACGGTTCTCCATTTTTTTAAAAAAATGTGTGCCTGGATATATAAATATACACAAATACACATAAACATATATACACATGTATACATGAATATACACATGATCTTCGTAAAGATCATATTGCTGGACTAAAGTCAGATAATATTATTCATATTTAATAATATGAATAATTATTCATATTTAATAATAATGTCTCCAGTAATGATGGAACTTGCCTGAGGTCCAAATATATAATATAAATTCATGAGGTTATATCTCTAAGCCATGTACTATACTGTCAATTGTCACTCAGATAGCTTAATTTTGTTAATGGAAATTTAATTAAAACAAGCTATAAGTAATGAATTAATGCTCTAGATTAAGATATTATCATGTTGATACAGATCATTGTTTTGCATTTGCAGTGTAACCAAGGTTGAGTTTTATCTTCAGACCTATAGCAAACATTTGCTAGGTTAAATTGGGGTTATATTTCTTATGAAATCACAGCTAAATGTGGAGTTTTGTGGCATTTATTTGGGAAATATTAACTACAATCAACAGTAACAGAGTTATTCTGCATAGTGACTACAGGATATATTTGCATTTAAGGACTTAGTAATATATTGCCGTGTTGAATGAAAGGAGATAGATAGATAGATAGATAGATAGATAGATAGATAGATAGATAGATAGATAGATAGACAGACAGACACACACACACACACACACACACACATTATATAAATAAGAAAGAAATTTTAAGAAATAAAATTTGAGCAGGTAACGCTGAAAGACTGTGAATGCCAACATTGCAGAGATAATGTATAGCTCTGTTAAGTGTAAAATAAAATATAATAGCTCACAACTGAGAGAGAGAGAGAGAGAGAGAGAGAGAGAGAGAGAGAGAGAGAGAGAGAGAGAGAGA